TATCTGAAAAAAAAATGAAAACGCACACACACACACACACACACACACACACAAGTTCATGTGTGTGAAGTTCATGTTGTAATCACTATGTATGGTTTAATTTCTGCACATGCCATTTCTCCATTGCAATTGTGCATAGAAAAAAGTGCCTAGACTAATTTAATAATGTCCTTTCTGTGACCCATTTCAAGGAAAACATAAAAATGATATATTTTCTCTTAATGCAGTAATTGAATCTATTCAGAACCACAAGAGGCAATTTATTCCGTTTCCATTCAGATATTATAAGTGATAACAGTCATGCAGTTTTAAACTTTCACAGGCAAAGTTACAGACTAAAGATATAAATGCTCACTGAACTGTAGCTGCAGAATGACTTTAGTTGAAATTTTATGATGTGATCAGGACATCACGTGTTCGAGTGGCATCAGTGTAATGATTGCATGATGCTGGAACTATATGAACCACAAAAAAGAGAAATCCCTGTCTTCAAAGACCAACCACATTGGAAGCAACAAACATTTCGCCTCCTGAGATCTTTTCATCCTTTAAACCTAATTTGATCCTGCGCTCTCCAGGGAAGCGCGATTACACTGATCCTACACACCAGAGACAAAATATCACCTTATATGTATTATATCGATTCTAATGTAATTGATATTGTTAATATGCAATGAAATCCGACCGACTGTAAGTCTTTATCCGGACTGGATACGATTGCGTGCCAGCGCGCTCTAGTGCCGTTGGAAACACCTTCGTTTTCAGAATTATTTTTTGACGGTTTGTCTAATCTGTTATGAAAAGATCTATAAAATCTTAAAATCCTTTCGGAGAGCTTACACAACCTTACAAATTCTCCTTGTGGCTGTAAATTAAGCGCATTTTAATACAGGAAACTAGTTAATGACGACTGCGCGCAAAGCGCCAATTGAAGTCTGCTTGAGTGTGTGTAACCCGCAGCACTTCCCAAACTCATCAGACTGCAGCGCTGAGCGCGCGGAGAGGGACTGACGGTGCTCCATATACGCCAACAGAGGACATACGTTCGTCTTTGGCTAATTTAGACTGTTGTGATGCGCATTCCCGTAGATCCCAGCGCCGGCCGGAGGT